TAAAGACTAATAGTAATACTAGAAATTGATTCAGATGCATTCTTTTCACACAGCATCAGTATAATATGATTCATGCTGATTATTAATACTGTTAATCATTCCATTCCATTCACTTATTGCTGTTAGACTCTTTCTGAAAAGGTTTTTAATGCAGATAGTTCTATATGTTATACAGTACTGTGATGAACAGTTAAAACTAATTTATAGTCATTTTGTACATGTAAAAGATGGCTTTTTCAGAGATACAAAGAGGTTGTAGAAATGTGTAGAAAAGTTATTCAATGTTTAGTGTTTTGCTTTGGTTTTGAAGATGAGGTTGGAAAGTCTGTGAGTGATAGTCTATTCACAGTTTCTTTAAATTATGTTCCCCTTCTTTTAAATTTTATTAAATTGATTTATTTCAAAGCTTTTGGAACATAAAGGGTAATAGAGTAACCAAACTGTCAGCTTCTTCCTGGAATTTGACCAAAATGTGTATGTTTTTAGATCTTCATTGACCTGCTTTTTTTTCTGAAACAAATGGAGAAAAATTTAGAACCTTTGTAGGCGGTGACACATTTCATTTTTGTGTGTAGAATTGTCTTTTACTGCAAAGAGTAAATGTGCAAATGCTTAGGTTTGTGGGTTTCGCTGAATGAGGCCAGTGAAATAGAAAGGTCCAGGAATTCTTTGGCTCACTGGTGATGCTTTCCTCTTAATGGAATTTTCTGTTTAGAAAAAAAAAACATTTAAAATGCTAACCTGACAGTTCTGTTAGCTGCTGGGGGTAAACTGAATCACAGAGCAGTTTATTTTATCTTTTAAAAGCAGAGAATGCTAACCAGCTCCATTGGCAAGTTATTCCAGAGAGCTCTGAGTCTTTCACTGTGCCCACAGTGTACAATTATTAAATGTGGAAGAAAGAGCAATTGTTACTGATTTAAAGAGGCAGAACGTGGCTAAATTTGGTCAGAGTTGTGTACATATTGCAGTGTAGTCCAAGAGATTAAAGAACCTTGAAAAGAGTCAATGTATTTGATCGGATCATCTGTTTTCTATCTTTGGTCAAGGTTAATGGTGTATGTTGTGCTACAAGTTTATTTTTGTATAAATGAGTTTAGGACAAATACTTGAGAGAAGAGAGCACTCATTGATGCATTTTCATTTTTTCCCCATTTCATCATTCTTTGCTATTTTTATAGTGTTGTTAAATGAGAAATTATGTGTGAAATAATCACATTCTAAATAAACTATTTTCTTTGAGACAGAGTGCCATTTCCCATAACACAGCTTAAGTTTCATTTTTTAGAATAATGCATTCTATTTTTTCTTCATATATTAGGTAGTATAGCTCCTCGAATTATATACAACTAATTATCTCATGTATGTAGAAACATTACTTCATTATATTGTGTCTTAGAAAACAATATTGTGAATTTTGCTAGTACTGTAAGTTTGAAAATTCTGTCATGGCAAAACTACCCTGGTATTCTGTTCTTTAGTTCTCCCCTATGGTTTTTAAATGAGCTGCCTGAAAATGAGGAGTTCTACTTAAGCCTGCTAATAAAATGTAGACTGGCATCCCAGTTCTTAACAAACGCTAAGCCACTTTGGCCTGAATTTATTAAATATTAAGTGCCTGCCAATGCATAGCACATAATAAGCTACTGCATTCATTTGAGTTGGCACAAGCTGATAGTATTTTTAATTTGTGTTTTATCTCAAATTTACAGTTGATTGGACATTTTTTTACATTTGATTCTGTCTGTACAGTATATTGATATGTTTGTAATGTTCATTTTTTACAGGATCTACTGATTTTGGATTGTTAGAGTAATTCACCTTTAGTGCTCTTTACTTTTCTGTACATCTTTAGATAGAACAAGGTAACAAAATACCAGCGACAGTGTGCTGTGGTGGTTACCGTTGAGTAGGAGTGTCTATGTAAGAAGACTAATGTATATCTGTACTGCTTTTGAAGAGTGATCTTCATAGAAACAATGAACAATAACTGGTTTGTAGTAATCCGTAATGCTACCAATTCCTAAACTGATGTTGTCTATTTTAGATTCTGTTTGTCTCATGTAGCTACAGTAAGTATCCTGAACAAATTTCACATATGCTAGAATGGAAGTTTATTACATCCCGTTGCTTCTACTGTTGTAGTTTGATTGCTTATGAAATTAAACCAAAGCCACTGAAAATCACGGGAGACTGATTAAAATAAAATTAAACTTGATTAGTTATCATACCTCTATATAAGATAACTAAAAACTATGAAACAGAATGAATGAATCGGGCAAAATATTACAATATATATTATACTGCACAAAGTATAGATATGCCAACATAAACAAGGCTAAGAAAATGTTCTTCTGATTTCATTTTGAAGAGTAAATTATTCCACAGCCATGGTGCACAATAGAAAAAAGCCCTATTTGTTCTGTCAGCACTCTAGTTGAGGGGACAAACAAGTGGAGTTATGGGTATGAATTGGGTCAGAATTATAACAGGGCAAATTCCCCTCATGGCTTTATAAGTCAAGATCAATATCTTGAAGTCTGTAGGGAAATTCAGAGAGTAACTTGTGTAAGGATTTCTCGACAGGTGTAAATGTTAAAGCAAGATCTGGGGAGAACTCTGCTTGTTGCTTTCTTGAACACACTCGACGTTGTAAGGTGCAGTTTGACAACCCAACAAGTAGAACAGCTGCTTCAAGCCTGGATGAAACAAAAGCATGAACTGGTTTTTCTGCCCAACCAATACTGCTGAGGTGAAAGAAAAACACCTTTTGTGATGACCTGGACATGCAGATCAAAAATTACCCCCAGAGTTTTAAATAGTAGAACAAAACCTAGTTGAAATCCATGGGTAGAAGTGGTTACAGAATTTGATATGCACAGCATTGTTCAGTAGTTTTACATTTTTGTTAAGTTTTGGTTAAATAATGGTAGGAAAATGGAAGGAAATTTGTAGCTACAGTGCAAAGATAGAATCTTATTTTTACATATTCAGTTTTTAATAGAATGTTGGATGTATTTTTACTTGTGTAGAAGAATACTGATGAGTTCTTAGTAAATTCACATAGTTTTAAATCTCTAAAGCTGAAGAAACATCTGCAAGGTTTATGAAGTATTTTGTGAATTTCATTCAACCATAAGAACTATGCTGGCAGTGATCTGTACTCATTTCAAAATGCATTTTTAACGTAGTCTTCATGTCCAAATGAATGTTAGCCTTTTAATCATGAGGTATTTGAATAAAAACAGCTGAGTGAAATGATAACTAGGTCAGTTTATATTTTTAGAATGTTTGTTTGGGCCTGTTTCACTTGTATTTGAAAGCATTTTAAAATGACAAACGACAGCATATTAAACAGAGAGACGTGCTTTAAGGGCAGTCTGTCAGGTGGAGTTATGAGAAAAATAAACAGGATAATTTGGGCTCTAAACACAGTAATATATAGAAAGACAACCTTAAAATACAGAATAATTATTTATATTTTGTATATTGAATGTAAACCTATCTGATCTTATTTTAACTTGTGTATCTTATTGAATCTCCTAACTAGAGATATATTAAAATAGTTTTATTGTTTAGATATATACATGCTAGTATACTGTATTATGCATTTAAATGTAATATTTTGAATTTTTTTTTATATATTTGTCATTTATTTTCTGAAAGTATTAATATCTGCTCTTTCATACTTATGGAGTTTTAGTCACGAGATTTAAGTAGCTCTGGCAGTGTTGTAGACATTCTGGAAATCAGGTTATTTAAAAGGTCATAAGATATTCTACATCGTGACATAAACTTTAATGTAAAAAATTTAATTTTGTGGTGCTTAGCAAAATTTTTTGCAATTTTAAATTGTTTGCTTTTAAACAAATGATAGCTGGGCAACCTAATCTAAAACCTGATGTTTTTTACTTTTCTCTCTTTTTCTGAAACTGGATGTTGTCTTGCTTTTGAAAACCACAACACCACAATCCTACTATAGGTTATACAGTACCTGTTGTATTGCAGATTATCATTGTCTGAATTATGGTATGCTGTTCTGAATGTTGATTGTTTTCGAGAGATGTTAAGGGGGAAAATATATTTAGAGGTTACAAGTTACAAAACTCAGTTTCAATAATGGAACTCTGTCATCACATCAGACCGCTGCAGTTTTCAACTCTGATTGTTGGCTTGACAGTACAGAAATTGAAAAACGCAAGGTTAGGAAGCAACATTTTTTTTACCAGATTCTATAATCCCTTCCTTGTCACAGCCAGGGTAGAAAATTGCACTGAAGTGATTGCCTGTTGATCAGTTTTATTTTTACGTAACTGACACATGGGTTGCTCTAATTGTGTTGTCTAGTCTTCTAATACCTGGTGTCTGAGTTTTGCTTGACGATATGTGGTTTAGTTTATAAACATGTTTGTGTTTAAACTGCATCTCCTGCTGTTTACAATAATGATCAGGACACAGAATCTCAAAATGAGCTGTGGTTCTTACCTGCATAATGCAGTTTTCATAAAGTTAAGATGACCTCTCAATTCACTAAGTGTTCTCCTGTTTCAGTGACTTCATGACTAGAGAATCCTAGGCTTTGGTAACATCAACTGGACAGAAAATATGGTCCTATATTGTAACTGGGAAACATGATAATTTTATTCTAAAACTGGGAACATTGTTTCACCACTTGTCATCCACATTGGAGCACTTCTTGTAGATAACTGCAGTGCTTAAGATGCTTAGTAGTAGCCTTTAGAAGTTTTACATTTCTTATTTCCTTTTTTGGAAGTTGATGGCCCATCACGCTCTTTAAAATAGTTTTTTACAGTCTCTGGATAAGACTGAATTACTTCCTTAACAGAGGTGTATTCTCTTCAGTCTATTCTTGCATCACTCACTGAGAAATTCTCAGAACTTATATGATATTGTATAGAAATCGTTCCCGGGTGCTTCAGTAGAATATTATTACTGTTGTGTAATCATACCTAACTCTTCTCCTTTTTTTCTGTTCACAGGTAAGGGAAAACTAAGTTGCACATTTCTGGGAAAAAAAAATATGGAATGTGTTCCTCTCTTGGTACAAAGCAAAACCAAACAGACTGAGAGAATAATAAAAACTACAAGTTAGCAGTTTGTTCCTCCCCTTGAACTTACCAGAGCAATTTGCTCATAAAGGGGGAACAAGTCGAGAAAAAAAAACTTGTGCTCAAAAAAAAAAAACTTTTCCAAATATACAAGCCTTCCTTTTTTTCTTAAATTTTAACTGACAAATAGAAGTCAAGATGGAAATGGAGCAGTACTTGTGGATGGTGATCTTGGGATTCATTATCGCATTCATCCTGGCCTTTTCTGTGGGTGCGAATGATGTGGCCAATTCCTTTGGGACAGCAGTGGGCTCAGGTGTGGTCACTCTGCGGCAGGCCTGTATTTTGGCTTCAATATTCGAGACCCTGGGCTCTGTCCTGCTTGGGGCAAAAGTGGGAGAGACAATAAGGAAAGGCATTATAGATGTCAGCCTCTACAACAACACTGTACACGTGCTGATGGCTGGGGAGGTCAGTGCCATGGTTGGTAAGTCATCAGCAGTCTTTTTTTTTTGTTGTTTGCTGTTATAAACCATATTTGTAGGCCACTTGGAATCTTAGATATTTCTTTGTCATTTTTAAATCAAGTCCTGGACTTCCCTTATCAAGTCAGATGGTACAGGCAAAAGTCTGAGGTGTGCTTTGTCGAGCTCTGACTGTTGAATAAATGCACATGCATTTGTGTGAAGAGTGAACACACCAGCTATTTCATTTAAAATTAGCTTGTTTAGGTATTATCTGCCATTTTATGCCAGCTCATTCATCTGCCTTTCATAAAATAAATAAAAAGCATTTCACAGTCAATAAACAGTGTACAAAACCTGTGTTTAAATGTAGGAACAAACATCACATTTATGAGAAATATGATGCATTAGAAGTTGAAAAATGTATTGTTGGCGTCAAGATTTTTATATAACAGATCATAAAAAAGAAATTTTGTCATGTGGAAAATTCTTATCTACATGTATTTAATTATACATGTATTTTTAATATGACATTAATTTTCCTCCAGTTTTTTGTTAAGCTTTGTTTAAACTTTAATATCCCACTTTTTAAGCCTGAGATTAAAATGTACTTTCAATGTACAGTAAATAGAGTACAGAAAGAACAAAGTGTCATGTAAGTTGTAAGTTTATTTTAGCAGTTTTTCTATTGTGCTTTTTATTTCCTTTGGGGGGGGGGACATTTTTGCAAGTCATAATTTCAGAAATAACTATAAAGTTAAGGGAAACAGCCTGTGTTTATTCGATGAAGATGTAACTGATGCACAGAAACAGTAAACTGCAATGCTGGGTGCAGTTGTACAGTCTCTGACTGAGGAAGATTAAGACTTATACCTGTGAATCCAGCCTACATTTGGCCTCATTTCTGGAAGGTTTATCCAAGGCAGTTTGTTCTGTGTATTTGTTAGGATAACCCTGTACTGGTTGGGACATTGTTTTATGCTCACAGTTATTTTGCTAGTTCTGAAGACTCGCGGACAAGCACAGCTCGAGAATGAAGTGCATTTTGGAATGCATGGGCTCCCGTGCATTTGCAAAACCAGTCTAGCCCCCGAGCCCCAGAGAGAGCCAACAATATCACAATCATCCCAATTCAAACAACATCAAGCGTGAGAAAATCCGGCTGCAAAATGAATTATGGCATAATTCTAGGGTGTTTATTTTCTGTTGTTTTATCTCTGCGCATAGATCAGGTTCCTGTCACTCCTCAGGAATAACTTGCAGCGTGCATCTGATTTACAGGATTATTCTCGGACATGGGATCGCTCAAATCGGACCGTGGGCGGCTGGAGGAATTTAGCTTTATAGGGCACTCGGTTTCCAAAAAAGTCCCTGACTGGCTCTCAAGGGAAGGACAAAGAAAGTTATGCGATGTAGCCACGGAGATGGAATGTAATGAAATCCCATATTCAGAACAGAGCACAGAAAGAAAGAACTGCTTAGCGGTGGAAATGTTTATAGGATCCTAGTTGGGATTTAGGGATGATCCCTTTGAAGATCTTCTAGTGTGACAGCCCGACATCTCACCTTTCATTAATTAGCAGCCCGAATGTGTTACATGGCCTAAAACTCTGCATTCTCACACCATTATACAGAACAGTTAATGCACCATATACATAAGTTACAGAAAATGCAAAGCATAAAGAATGGTTTTACTTAAAGCTTACTTTACTTAAATGGGGAGTGATATATTGGTACATGAGCAACTGAAATGTTGGGTCCTGATGACGGCATCTTGCAGAGGGTCCCTTCCAAATCCCTATGCTTTCCGGGATTGAAATCCTTTATCCTGAGTATTCTTGGCTTAATTGTTACAGGAAATTGCTGATTTTGGGTCATCGTTGTTTATTAAGACAGGCATTTGTTTAATATTTCTTCCTATTACTTTTTTTTAATTAAATGCATTCTATGGGGCCTCTTTTCAGAAACCGTTTAATTAGCAATCTGCTAAAAGTGTAAAAGCAATTTATGTAAAAAATGTGTCTGAAGATGCACTGTGCACTAATGAAAAAGGCTGATAAATGAAGTTGAATTTTCAAATCCATTGGTTTAAATTTTGAAGGTCACTGTCTAAAAACATGTTTAGAAGGAACTTGCTGTTTTAATGTTTCTTAAGTATACTGAGAGACATTAAAAGCCCAGCAAATACATTTGGTTCCAGTACTGATTTGTTGAATTTGTAATGACTCTCAGCATACTGTACTGTATATTCATAGCTGTTTTTTTCAGAAAATCTCTGCTCCGTTTAGCAAAGAATAAACTTATTGCTCATACAAATGTAAGCAACTAAACAAATATTTTTAGAAACATACAAAATCCATTATTTCTTTCAAATGTAACATTTCCTTGATCTTTGAAATAAATATGAAAAGCTAAACATGCTCAGATTTTTACAAATGTATTTCTGACCATTTGTACAACGCTTTTCTTAAATTGCCGGTATGTCTAAAATCCTCAAGCCAGTGTCCTATCAAACATGACGTCCACATTTCTCTTATACAGATTAAGAAAATGGTTATTCTGGTTATAGAAAACCACAGAGTCTGATTAGGAGAAGTAGGTTAGAAGAAGATATCAAAGAGAGGTTGCTATCTGGCAGTTAAAAAACAAGTACCCATATGTCTCAAAAGTCTTGCACTAATAAACTAAAACTTTTTTTTTTCTCTGTCTCCAGGCTCTGCTGTTTGGCAGCTCATTGCCTCTTTCCTGAAGCTGCCTATTTCTGGGACACATTGCATTGTGGGTGCCACCATTGGGTTCTCTATGGTTGCTATCGGTACAAAGGGTGTGCAGTGGATGCAACTAGTCAAGATTGGTAATTGACATTTCATTATATGTGTGAGGGTATGTGAAAAAAATGACTGTTGCCTGGCAAAAGTTCCTTACGGGGAAAAGACGACTTTTGCTTCTTGTTTCTCTCCTTGAGGTTTAAGTACTTTGTGTACATTCTCTGGATCTGCACCATCTGAAGTGCCCCATCCAGGCTGTTTCATTTTGGTTTTAAAACCGAGTGAGACATCGTTTTCTTGAGCACGCTATTCTTTTGTTTAGTGCACGCCGCTGGAGTCCAGATTCTGTCCACAACTGTCACCTGATGCCCACCTCTGACCCATTTATCTGACCCATACAAAGATCAGACCTATCTAATCGGAAAGCTGCTTCCTGATTTTTAAGTGTTTCCGTGCTAGAAACACTTAATGTCTGCATGAATAAGTGTGTGCTGTGTGTGTTATTACATTCTGTATACTGTCTTAATTTTTTTCATTCTCTCTTCTAGCACTTTGGCTTTGCCAAGCTTGTTATGCTGTAATGAAAGTGCAGCACTTTTGATATAAATGCATAACATATTAATTTGTACTGATTTTTCTCTTGCCTGGAATCCACTTTACAGGATAATATTAGTTGTTAAAAGTGGGTTTACTGAACAGGTGCTGGAAGCTAGTGCAATTTTAAAGCAATTTTTTCCAGAGTTGATTAGTGTTCCATAATCCTGTGATATACCACTCATTCCAAAACACAGAGAGGAATTGACATCTGATGCATGCATATCAGTTTCTTAATGTATTACAACTTTTCAGTTTTGAAAGAATTGTTTTTACCTGCATCTGACTGTATTAAAACTTAAAAACCACTGCGTGCACTAAAGGTGTATTTTAGGGTAGATCTTTTTTTAATGCACTTACAATCTGTACGTTTCTACGTGCAGTACATGGTGGTTATGGTATGTTTTGCAAGCACAGGGTTAATTGTAGGATGGAGTGGATTTGTTTTAATGAAGTGACTTGAGAAATCAGTTGCAGTTATATTTCTGGCATCTACTACTAATGAATATCATAGCCAGTCTCTCTATCAGTGTCTGGCTTGGAGGAATGGATGCCAATCCCTTTCATTGAGTTCTCCATGGATTACAATTAACAATTTCATTTTTTTTTATTTTAGCAAATCTAAAGTGAATTTTGGTACCTTTGAGGTCTACTGGCCATTTGACAGTTTAACTTTATGGACTTATTCACACAAATCAAATTTGTGAAAACTCAGCAGAAGTGTCACTTTTCATTGATTCATGGTACGCAGCATTTATGAAAATGAATAAAGACTCTTATCTTAAACAGTAGATAAGTCTTATCATGGTCAATGAGAGCTCAAATACTGTACAGTCTTAATGAAAACAAAAAATCTATACAGTTCTGGCTTTTGATGATTTTTTAAAATTAAAGCAGAGCATCAACAACTTATCAAAGTATCAAAGTATTCATTTTCATTGATTTGTTCTGGAGCTGTAGAAATCTGTCCATGTGCCGAAATGCTATGCTTAAGCAAGATTTACAAGTAGCTTTGTTCACTCTGTACCTCCTGGCAAGTTTCATGATGTTGGGAAAGCATAGCTCCACAGATTTCCATGTCCTATTTATCAGCTGCTGCAAACAACCAGATTGCTTTGTCATTTCTTTAGTCTCTTTCCTGAGAAATGTTTGTGTATAGATATTCACATCTCATTTGGGCAGAATCACGCCACTGATTTTTTCATTCTGTTTCACTTTGTGTTGGGCTCAGTTTGGTCTTTTACTTTCGATGGCGACTGGAAACCAGTCGGTTTTCCACAGTCTTTTGGTTGAGATCCATAGTGAAACATCGGTGCAAAGTAGCTAGTAGCTAAAGTCTACTAGGCACACAGTGACAATCAGTTATTGATACATTTTTAACTTTCTTTGGCTCCAGTTGTTCTTACCCTAGTGCTTCCCTTCCATGTAGAGTTCTAAGACAAGTGATCAGATGATTATAATGTCAACGGTGAAAGACTGACAGCCGTGTGCCTCCATGTATGCAGAAATGTATGTCACGGAGATATTGTAGAAAAAAAGTGTTTGGCTACTTTCCCCAATTTGCCATGCAGTCTGGGAAATTGTGATTATCTTGGGGCCTTTATCAAAAATAAGATCCTAATTCTGCTGGAGAATCTGGAAAAGTTCTTTGGGAAAATAGGATGTGGTATCAGAACTGGGAAAATGGTAAGTTTTAGTAAAGTGATTACTTTGACAGATAATTTTAGTCCTACTGAATATATAACTGGTCTCCCCACAGGGCAGTCAGTCAATCAGAAACTTAAATGACTTAATTTAACCAATTATTGGTTTAGCTAAATGGTTTAGATATATGACCTGAAGCCAATGATTATAACAGCCAGAGTGCTCAGGATTCTTCAGAACCTGGGTCAGGCACCATTGGCACAATGGGAAAAGATGATTTTTCAGGTTCCAGATCTGTGCTTTCATTTTGTTGCCTGTCTCACTTCCCCTTTAAGTGTAATAAAATTTTGAATGAGAATTGTGTTGAAAGTAGGAACAGGATGTTCCCTGTGATTTCCTAAAATGTGCCTGTTTTCTTTCCCCCCAACACAGTTCTTTCACAGGGTGTGCCTGTGTACCAAAGGAATGAGTCATGATCCTATCTAGAACGTGTGAAAAACATGGTTTTAAATGCAATATCAAGTCAGATGTAGTGTATACAACTCATTATGTACATCACTACAGTATATAACAATTGTGGACAAAAGCTTATTCATTCCTTGTAGAACCTGGGGTGGGTTAACCTCTGCCATTATTCCAAAAACAGTCTTATTTTTTTTTCTTCACTTTCATGTGTTGTGAGTCATGACTTTCATCTATTATTAAATGTTCACTGTGGTACCACAGGAAATGTGAGAGTTTGTCCATTTCCATCCCTCCATAATACAAGAAATCCTTTCATTGTTGTACAATAACCTAAGAAATGCTTTTTTTTTCTAAAGGCTTTAAAAGATTTGCCTTTAAACGGACTTCTGTGCTGCATTGTTTGAAAAAAAACTAAGCTGCCTGATTAGAAAACACAAAGGGATATAAAATCATAAAATCGCCATCACTGAGCTGCAGAGGACTGGTATATTGTTCTGCTTGTTTTAACATGACTTTTGAATGACTACTTGGCTTCTTATGGATGTACAAGTAAAACACTATGGCCTAACACTCTATAGAGTTGTAGTGTTTATTTATTCGGTCTTGATTCAGTTCTTCCAATTGTTCCTGGCTCTTTATTGAGTGTTTTGTGTTTATTCATCTAGTTGCCTCTTGGTTCATTTCTCCTCTGCTGTCTGGGCTCATGTCAGGGTTCCTGTTCCTAGTCATTAGATTCTTCATTTTGAACAAGGTGAGTCATCACACTCTTCTGCAAAACCAAACTCTTTTGCTCTTTATTCTGGTTTTCATTCTTTTTAAACCCTGTGCCAAAAAGACTCCTAACACTAATTAAATTAAGGTTGTATGCAGAAATAAAATAACATTTCAATAGCAGTCCATTTTAAACACTTTCCTTACTATGTTGAAAGTGTAGTACTGTAGAGCCTGATGAGCTTTTTATTTTTCTGTCCAATTTAAGCCCTCTGTCATCTGGGCAAGCGACACCTTTTTGCTTCTTTCACAATGTTTGTGTTATTATTTAATAAAGATGTTGAGAATAGCAAAATGCTCAAATCCATGCATTTCAACCTGGAGTTCTAAGTTCTTTTAAGCCTTATCTTTCCAATACTTCAGAGTGTTTAAAACTTTAAGTATCCTGTTCATTTGCTGGTTTAAATAGTACTACCAGAATTGAGCCATACTATTAAATGCCTTAAAAATAATAGTTATACTTTTTCAATTATTGCCATTGGCATTTTAGGACTAGTAAATGTAATACACTATTACAATTTTCCATATTAAATATAAAATTAAAGCTAAAAATAAATCTAAAATTATAAAAATGTGAGAGCTGAGAAAATAGTTTTCAGGATCAGATTTTAAACAAACTGTATTCTTATGTTACTTTCTTTGCTTCCAGGCAAGTCTAATCATACAATTAAGAAACATTTTTATTCTAAATTACTACTTTACCATTTTATTATAATTTCTCGCCATTAACATGGTGAGGTTATCAAGCGTGGTATTTGCTTTTATACCACAGAAAGATGCTGCTAAAAAGTAACTGCAGTGCTGTGAAAACTTCAGTTTTTTTATTGTGCACGTTATTCCTTGTTTGCTGGATCTTTGTGTTATTAACATAAAACCATACATGTTCCTGTGTGGGAACCAAAACATGTTAAATACATAATGTGCAGAAATACTGTGAATATTCCTTTTTTTGTGAAGGAACTGGTGGAGATAAATGCTACACTGAAAAGTTTTTAAAAAAGAAAACCTGTTTGCTGTGGTGTGGAGGGGAAGGAGACAGAGATGGAATTTAGGGCAAACTGGAGGGAAGACCAAAGGGTGAATTTGAGAAGGGGTGTGTGGTGTGGGGCAGTGACTGCAGGAAATTTTCCCTCTTAGTTGTGCCTTTTGTTTTAAATGTACTTATGGGACAAAGTTGAAGGCCTGGCATTTGCAGTGCGACTGAAGCTTGTCCAGATAATACACCTTCGTGTATGAAGGCCCTGATGTATTTATGAAGGTGTCAAAAGTGCTTTTCTGTTTATGTTTCCAGGAAGACCCTGTGCCCAATGGCCTTCGTGCTCTGCCTTTGTTCTATGCTGCTACTATAGGAATTAATACATTTTCAATCATGTACACTGGAGCTCCACGTAAGTACTTGTCGCCTGTGTAGCTCAAGCCTTCTCATTTTGTTGCTCTAATTGTTTTTGCAAAGCTGCTTTTGAAGTGTTTGTACTAGCTGGAAATGGCTGAGGTACAGTTGGCAGTGCCCTGTGTGTCAGGAGCTGTAATGGAAAGTGCTTACCCACCAAAACGCCTCTTTTGAATGAATTAATCTTTAGGAGATTTGGAAATTTCCATCAATTTTTTATTCCAAAATCTTAGATCACTGTGTGAACAAATGCCTTGTTTAATTACACGACTTCACCTCTTTGTTTCCTAGAACTGTCATGCATACAGATGTGTTCAAAATGCCAGGAGTTAAAATCTGATTGGTAATAAAGTAAAGAAGGTGGAAGTCAACTCTTCGTACTTTTTGCTTAAATATACAATAGCAGGAAAGACAACTGCGATGCATGATTTCAGAAATTCTGTATGTATACAAATTTGCCTATGAACTGTTCTATGTACCACTAGCATCTGGTGTATAACAATAATTGTGTTCAACTTTTGTCTTTCTTCCCCATGTAGTGCTTGGTCTGGAGCTCCTTCCAGTTTGGGGAATAGCTCTTATCACATTAGCAGGGTCTCTAGTGTGCGCTGCTTTAGTGTGGTTTGTAGTGTGCCCATGGATGAGAAGAAAAATAGCAAGTAAGTGACACATACGCTTCTGGAACTTTATTGGTAAGCACCAGTCTCACATCAAAAGAGCCATGACATCCAAATAGTACAGTATGTAATGTGGAATGAGAACAGCGTATTCTGTATCCTTGGATATACAGTAACCAATCGTAAGCAAATCATTATAAACAGAGCTAAGAAGAAAAACCTAAGAATTTTACAAGTGTAGGTTAGGTGGACCTTTTTTGTTGCTACCACTGAGATTGAAAGAAATAAGATACAAATATTTTAAAGGTTTTGTGCCATTTGTACTTAAGGTGTAGTGGACCTGGTGAACTTGAGTGTCGCAGAAAGAAATGTATCTAATGAATTTTCCATCTACACCTGGTGGTGTTACATCTGTGGCCCTTGGATTTACAGTGTAGATGTGCCAAGAAATTTGACCAGTGCCCCAATGTAAAAGTGTCCTGAAAAAAACTTCAGTTGTGCATTGTGTGTGCCTGAAGACAGTTGTTACTGCAATGCAATAAAAGTAAATGCAATCGTTTCAAAATATGTAATATTTTTTCACTCGATCAGATATACCTATGCTTATCTTAGACCTCTCCACAGATGGAGAAAAAACAATCCTTTATACACAGCCTGATAGAAGGAAAATACAGGCCAGAAATGCCGTCTGTATTCATGGATCTCACTTTATTTCCTGATTTATTGAGATACAACACTTAAGCCTCCTCTAAATTTAAAAATATTAAAATCTTTCTTACTTGAAGTCCTCTAAATCATATAATATTAGTACCTTAACTTGAGCGTGTTGTTTCCATGGCAGCTTTAAGGAGCTCCTAGAAGATTATTTCAGCTCTGGTTTCACAATATGTACTGCCAGGCTGCACGTGGCTCTTCTTTGCTTTCAGAACATATGTTGATATGTCTGGAACAACCAAGACAAAGCCTGCTTTGTGTCATTTTGGTGTATTGCTGAAACAATTTTAGGAAGTGCCTTTAACTTCAGTTTAAGATAAAGAAAAAATGTCACTACATGTGCTTGCTTGCACCGACTTTTTTCCTTTTAAAAAGCAAATTCCATCTTTCATGTTTGTACAGGCCGGTTGAAGAAGGAACATGCCTTATCAAGAATATCAGATGAGAGTTTAGATAAGATCCCAGAAGAAGACAGCCCCGTTTTCAAGGAGTTGCCAGGTGCCAAGGGGACAGATGAGAGTGTAGTGCCACTGACCAGCAGGGCCACCGAGTCACCAGGGGAACCAGAAAATCTGACCAATGGGAGTTCTGTCTTACCTAATGGAAGAGTATATGGTAAGCTCTGTTCAGAACTCCTGCATGGTGTGCCCAGTAACCTTTGTGATATGTGGTTTGAATCCAAGCTGTGCCAGATACCAGCTGGGATTTAGGCTCTTCAGGTACAGTACAGTGCACATTTAACAAAAATTAACCTCACTTGAATGGTATCAACCTGAAACCAGAATCAGCCTAGTGCCATATATCAGGCAATCCTTTTTTCTAAAAGTAAAGCAGCTGAAAATGCAAAGATTTGGGTGGCTCAGCAATGTTTTACAGAGAAAGCATATCGCAAACGTCCATGCTTGGGGATTTATAGGGTTAACTGAGGTTAAACAACAACCTTTGTTTTAGATGGCAACTAGAAGTTCCCAATTAGTGTGGAAAAACTGTATAAAAGCATGAAATCCGAGGATTATTTTGCTTTAGAAGATTAAAGAATTGAAATTATAGATGAGGTTCAAGCCATGGATTTTTTTAACTGTTTGTAAGAGGTGGTAGGTTCATATTTTGTGTTAGTCTGAGAACTGTACTGTAAACTGTAGCATTGTAACAACAACTGTAACAATTGTTTAAATTAATTAATCAGTTCTGCTTTAATCCTTAAAACATTCATAAACAGATGTTTTCAGACTGAATTTATAATTTGTGTAATTCTGCTTCAGATCTAAATTTTCTCAATGTAATCCAGTGTTCTCTGGCATTGTGTGCATGTCCCTCAGAAATAGAAAGTTTCTATTACTAGCTTTCCCTGGGAAACGCATTTGATCTCTAATCATTTTGCATTTCTCTTGGGTTACTTTGCTTTGTTAGTCTTAAGAAAATGCCTTTTTTATATTACACAGGGCATTGTGTGCAAAGGAGTAAATATCAGATTAGTCCACAAATTGAAACATCATGTAGTTTTATAAACGTTATAGGGATTTGCTTTACCTCTGTTTAGTTGAAGGATGATGTTTTTAATGGTCATTTAATAGAACCTCTATTTATTATGAGTTTTTGGAAAAATCTCAAATACAAAATGTTGATATAACTCTGAGCAAGAGCCTATAAATAGGATTAAAGATGTGCTTTCAATTACTGCACCAAGGGAAAACACTTGAAATTGTCGTAATGGTCAGGAGAGAAAAGAATATAATGATGGAGACTGAAACAAATAATTTTCAGTACTATAACTGCAAAAGAACAGAAAGAACAAAATGTCACAGAGATTGAAAAATATGAAATGTTTAGGTGACAAAAGGGAAATTACCAAGGAAGAAATCAATGTGCCCAAGTAAGATTGTAGAAAGCCAAAGTATTAGCACAGAAGAGCAGCTTTTTACAGTTATCAGAAGCACTTGAAATGTATCTCCCAAGTCAGCTGATATTCTACTAACTATGCTTAAGGAAATGAGAGAAGATGCTCACAGGCCATTAACAAAAGTTTTGTAGCAGCTGGGCTTGAGAGGTATTGCCAATCGGTCTATTTCCCATCCTTAAAATAGATGACAAATCCACACCACATAATTATACACCTATAAGTCTTACTACTGTTACATGTCAGGTTATGGGAACAATAATTAGAACTAAACAAGAGGTCCATCTGTATGGCAGAATGACTAGAGGATAGTCAACATGGATTTATAAAAAGTAGGTCTTTAACTTGTTAGTGTTCTTTGAACAACCAAAAGCACGAATGGAAACATCACGTGTGAAATGGTTAATTTGGATTTATAGAAAGCTTTTTATGAAGTGCCTCATAAAACACTAATTCCCAAATTGCAGGTGGTGTGCATTCAAGGTAATACATGTATTTGGATTGGGAACTGGTTAATATAGAGAATGCATACCACAGATAAGGAACAGATGGTCAAATGGAGGTGAGGATAATAGTGGAGTTCCTCAGGTATCTATACTAGGACCACTACACTTAAGATGCCTAACTCTACTAGAATTTAGATAATTGTTAGCAAACTAGTCAAATTCACAGATGATATAAAACAAAGTAAATGCTACAAAAGACATCCAAATGTTGCGTAGATGGATTTTAAAAATGGCAGATAAATATGTAGTTAAATGTGTACCTTAATGTAGATAAACATAGAGTTACAGTATATGCCGGCAACAAAATTATAAGATGGAAAACCCTGATCTTGTAGACCTTTTAGAATTTTGTGTTCGATTTTTATTACCATGTTAAGATATTGCTGTTCTTCAATGCATCTGGAGAAGAACATCCAGATATGTTCATAGGCTCCAGCAGTATGCTTTCCTATAGGTGCAATGTCTTGTGTGTTTTAAGCTTAGAATTAAACTACTATCATGTTATGTATTCCAGGGGGGTTGCCAATGTCCATACTTAGTTGTACACGAATCATATGTAAAGCCTGAAATGGCATTGGGTTACCTTGGCAACAGGACACCACTCATCCAAACTCTCCTCGAGGCCTGTATTGCTATCCGTTGAAAAGCTGCCCATTGCGTGACTTGATTAATTATCTGCAAGGAATTACATCAAAAGCCACAGCAGCTCTATCGCCATTCTGTTAGTAGGCAGGAAAAGTTTGTATGAAGAGAAAGGTTTAGTTGGAAATTGTCAGATTAATTTAGTGCAGGAAGGAAAAGTGACTAAGGAAGAAATAAGAAATGGGCCACAGAAGCCAAATTTCAGAGCACATAGAAAAAAACACAGATGAATAGCTTTGACTGTGATTTAGTGAGGTACTGTATTCTATGCTAGAAGTACCTGTTTTAACCCATTAATAACATATCTGAATAACTGACCATTATTTTTGTGTTTGAGAATTAGAGGTCCACCAGGTACTGAATTTGAAAACACTCAAAAATGTATACATTTCCCCAGTAATGTTATTAAATCTCTGGAAGCATCTCCTTGTGTTTTTTACAGTAATCAGCTGGGGAAAGCTGTTTGTCCTGCACAGAACAATAATAGTAACCGTAATAATCATGTTCCCCTATTCTACAGCCATAGTTGAAAGTCATTTAGGGGTTCTTGTTAAATGGATTTTTGATTTTCAATAGAGTTATGGTAAGCAAATACTCGGTATTTCATTGCAGATTACAGATTTACAGATTGCAGATTTTTTAATAGCCTTAAGTTAAGTTGCATACCTTGGTGAACAGCACACCATTGCTGTGCACAAAGAAATATTCTAATCTGCTTATGTGGAAGACCTGATTCAAGTAGCAAAAATCCTCAAAACCATTGACAGAGCAAACCCAGTGGATTTCTTCTGAATCTGCAGCAGCGAAACAACCTGAGGGATCTCACATGGAAACTCGTACAGTACTTAGTTTAAGAACAACTTTAAGAGGAACTTTGTTATACAGAGGATCGTGGCTTTTCTAAACTAAGCTACCCAGCTTGGTACCAAAACCAATATCCTGGCTTCTTTCAGGAAATGGACTGGATGCAGTCATTGGATCATTTAGCTACTTTCCAACAAATTGGAGAGGTGGGCTGGGTGGCTTTCTCATTTGCAACTCTTCTAATCATAAAGCAACCCTTGTTGACCTTTATCTCGGGAAAATTGAGGAAAAAAATAAAGGCAATTGCCTGGCACAGCTGCAAGACCTTTTCCTACTCCAGCTTTCTGCTATTAGTCATGCTTTAATAGTGCTTTTGAAGCTAAGAGAGTTTTTCTTTTCACAGCAGAATCAGGAAAATTGGTAGGAAGAAAGTGTTATCTTAGGGTTTTTTTTTTAATTTGCAAGGCTTTCTATCTTGTAAAATACAATTTGAATGTTTATGCTGCAGGTAAATTTATTAAAGGTCAAAAATTGGAGAAAGGGATATTACCCTTAGCCTGTATTAGCCTAAACCCTGTCTAATTAAGTTTGGAATTATTAATACACGCTTTCTAGATCGACTGTTTCTAAGGTTCGAATCAGTAGATGTTGCAAGATTTGAACATTGGAAGAAAGCAGTGTTTTTCTTTTTTTTTCAGCTTGAATGTGCCTTTTTGTTTCTACTCCTGACCCAAACTGATTAATCTGACAAATGATTTCGACTAAGCAACTAAGATTGCAATTTGACTTCAGCACTGTGAACGAATGAGCAATAAGCAAACGTACAGTATGTCTACCAGACGAGCAGCCTGTCTTATACTGACAACACTACATACTCAAGGGCACCTGGCAAGACCTGCTGTTACACATTGGGCTGGGTAGGACCGGGCCAACATGGCCACTTGTGCACGGCTGTTTGGGAAATTCCAGTCACTGTCCACTAATAACAAGGCACAGGCTTGAATTGACATCACAGGGCTGCACTGGTGCTCTTAGGAGCACCTTTATTTGTTTAGCTACTAGGCAATCCCAGGAACTTTTTGGAGTCAGATTTTTTTTTTTTAAAGTGAAAACGTTTAGTTTTAGAAAATTGGCTTCAGTTGTAATTTATGATTCATTGTAGCATAGTATATTATGCATTATATACTGTATATAAATGGGTATTTTCTGGAACAGTTTGGTTGAAGTACCTTGAACAAACAAGAACTGTGGCATACTTTGAATCTGTTAGCATGATGCTCCTTCCTACACATCCATAAATACAGATCTGAAGAATTAACTGTTCATTTAAAGTATAGAAAATTTCAGTAAGAAAAATTCTCCAAAAAGAAGGAAAAGCCCTTAAAAAGAGTAGAATGGAGCATAATTAAAAAGACCAGCTTTAGATTTGCAGCTTTAACCTTAAATGATTATACAGACAAGGTATTTGTGTATTACCTAAATAATAAAAAAAACAATCACCTAAGTAGTCTACTGCACTTTTGGTCATGAGTGTTTTAAATAGTCAACAAGCTTTAATGCTATAGGTTGCTCCGAGGATAAAACAGCTCAGTTAAAACCACACAATAAACCAAGTGGACATGTACAGTATGTGCCGTGTGAAAATTGGGTCATATTTGCAAGTCTTAGTCCAATCATTTTTCACATACATTAAGGTTTACATGAAATACTTCGGGGTCTTAACTTTGAAAGCATCAAACAGTTTTTAGAATCATGTGATATTGTTTATTAATATTATTTGCTACCTAAGGATAAAAGAAGTAGTCTGCACCTTCCGTTTCTCTGTGAAACCCAAGTTAGAAAAGCCCTAGACCAGGCCCTTAAAAATTACATACACTGAAACAACCTTTTCTTTTCTTTATAAGAAAGTTTGACGTGTGCTAATTAGACTGTTTTGTACAACACTATGAATCCCAAGACCGAAGGGGAAAGCGGACCTTTGCAGTTTAACGTGTGGTTTATGTAGTTGGCAGCGGATCCCACTCTCAGTGGTGTGGAGGTGGGGAATCTTTACTGATGGTCGCACTGCACCTGTGCTTTACCCTGCAGGCAGGACGCACTCCATGACCAATGGGTGTCTGAAGTCTCCCGTCTCGAATGGCAGCTTCAGTTTTGATGGGCACATGCGCAGCGACGGCCACGTCTACCACACGGTGCACAAGGACTCTGGACTGTACAAGGACCTGCTGCACAAGATCCACCTGGGCCGCATGGACGACGAGCGTGCCGCCCCGCCTGCAGACAACAACTACCGCCTGCTTCGGCGGAACAACAGCTACACCTGCTACACGGCGGCGATCTGCGGCATGCCTGTGCAGCCCGTCTTCCGGTCCTCGGATTCGGCAGCTCCTGAGGACAGCGAGAAGCTGGTGGCCGACAGCGTCTCCTACTCTAAGAAGCGCATGCGCTATGACAGCTACTCCAGCTACTGCAACGCCGTGGCCGAGGCCGAGATCGAAGCCGAGGAGGGCGGTGTGGAGGTGAAGCTGGCCGCCGACACCCTGCAGACGCCTCCTCCCCCGCTGGAGGAGCCGGTGGACGAGGATAAGGAGGAAAAGGACAAGCCCCAGATCTTCCTACTCTTCCACTTTCTGCAGATCCTCACCGCCTGCTTCGGCTCCTTCGCTCATGGAGGGAATGACGTCAGGCAAGTCCCTGTAACCTGTCCACAAACTGAGGAAAAGCCAGGGCTGCGTTCGGGGAAACTTCATATGCAACTGGGGTTTCGCAGTTCGTTGTTTTGTTAAAGTGCTGCCTTGCGCAGGGAATTGTTTAGATCAACTAATACCTTTTGCCATCGTAGCACTTCGGTGAGCTCATGAATTGTTGCATCCACATCCAGATATCAACCACAATCCAATTTATGGAAATGGAAAGATTTTTGACGTAATTATCTCTTTGCTCCCACAGCAATGCAATTGGTCCCCTTGTGGCACTGTGGCTAATTTATGACCAGGGTGGCGTAATGCAGGATGCTGCCACTCCTGTGTGGCTGCTCTTCTATGGAGGTGTTGGCATCTGTGCAGGCCTGTGGGTTTGGGGCCGCAGAGTCATACAGACCATGGGAAAGGACCTGACGCCCATTACACCCTCTAGGTAAGCATGGAATTATAGGGGTTGTGGGACATTTTTCCAGGCTGGGCTTCACATTTTATTAAAATGATTGTGCCTTTCGCTTGGAGTTTGTGTAGTAACAACTCTTCCAGGTTTTGCCCATGAGGGTCGCCTTCATGTGTAAAAGGGGTGTATGAAACTTGAAAATGAATGCAGGCCTGTTAGTGTTGCATATTTACTTTCCTGTATATTTCTCTGGCCTATTTGGTGGCAAAAAATTGCCTTTTTATAGATTTATTTTTTAAACAGTGCCTAAGTAAGATTAAGCCTGGGAAATACTGCTTTTCCTTTCAAGATTTTATCTGCCAAATATTTATATAACCATTTTTTTTTCCTTTAAAAACAGTCCACTGACAGGTATGTACTGTAACTCCTATGAATAACCAATGTTTTCTCCTCCTTCTAAGGTTGGTTTTCTTAGCTAGGAATGATAAGACCACACATTGAAGCACAAAAGGTGAAGGTTCTTGTGTTGCTCCTGCAATATTTTTATTATTTAGGTGGAATAATGCATTTTAATTTGAATACTATGTGTCAGTTATAAAAAAAAAAGACTGTATTACAGTACACAGTAAAGTTCAGAAATCAATTGCAGCTGTGAAATGAAAGGTGATTTATTGTTTCAAATGTAATTTTCAAGCTAAAAAAATTGTTGAAGCTCAAGTTGAAACATATGGGTCAGGAGAAAAGTGCTACAGATCTTAAGTCTAGGATTCTGCTGGAAATAGAGCACAATTGACCAAGTGCTACCAGAGTTTGGGGGAGTTTAAAGGGGTACTACAATGATATTTTTGTATTTCTGAATTTGATTATTTCTGTGAATATTCAACATGAATGAGTGTATTTCAAACCACAATGAAAGTAAAATGCATACAGTAATGTGTAAAACTCAAATTCACATCAAAGATGGAGCCAATTCGCATACCGGGAAATCTAATCTATTACATTGTAACCAAACAGACTTGTGTATACATCTTTTAATCCAATAGAAATATTGGTCTCAACTTCTAAATGGTTTTGCCGACAAATACTGCTTACTTGTTACCTCTGCATGCAGATCACGTTGGAACATTGCTGTGGTGAAATGTCTGCTGCTAAACGTATACTTATTCGCTTGTGGATCACATTACATTAGTCATTACATTGACTAGCGAGCAGGAAGCACTATTTTAAGTAAATTCTTGCTAATTCTTGCTCTTGCTTGTGGCAAGACCAGCGGTTTGTGTCAACATGGTGACTTAATACTTTTACAAAGTTCGCGGTTTTGTGCTTAATTTTTGAAAAAATGATTTGGATTACCGTCAATTAATTTGTTGCCGGGATTTACCATCCAGTGTGAGAAATTGGGACTGTAGTTCCCCTTCAAGATGCCGAGGCTGCCCTCTATGAAGCAGTTAGTAAAACATTTATCAGCAAGGTTTTCAGCAGCATCCTGTCTGCACCTGAGGATATTTGGTGAGGATCTTCAGTCCCTCTGCCTGCTTATGTTTGTAGATCCAGAACAGACAAGTTTATGCCATACATGCACAATAATAATAATAATAGCAGCTTACACTTATATAGCGCTTTTCTGGACACTCCACTCAAAGCGCTTTACAGGTAATGGGGACTCCCTTCCACCACCACCAATGTGTAGCATCCACCTGGATGATGCAACGGCAGCCATAGTGTGCCAGAACACTCACCACACATAAGCTATCAGTGGGGAGGAGAGCAAAGTAATGAAGCCAGTTCATAGATGGGGATTATTAGGAGGCCGTGATTGGTAAGGGCCAATGGGAAATTTGGCCAGGCTGCCAGGGTTACACCCCTACTGTTTTCGAGAAATGCCCTGTGATTTTTAATGACCACAGAGAGTCAGGACCTCGGTTTTACGTATCATCCAAAGGACGGCACCTGTTTACAGTATAGTGTCCCTGTCACTATACTGGGGCATTAGGACCCACACAGACCGCAGGGTGAGTGCCACCTGCTGGCCCCACTAACACCTCTTCCAGCAGACACCTGAGTTTTTCCCAGGAGGTCTCCCATCCAGGTACTGACCAGGTTCACACCTGCTTAGCTTCAGTGGGCTGCCAGCTGTGGGCTGCAGGATGATATGGCTGCTGGCATATATAACAATATCAGTTCAGCATAGAATTTGAAGCATTTATATGCCATGAATACCCTTACTGATACTGAAAAAATATTTAAAACTCTTTAAATAATTAATATATATATATAATTTATTCAATGTTTGACTTGCTGGAAATCCATGAGAGTACACCATTTATTTCTACTAATTTATGAGCTACAGCCTGTTATACTGAAGCACAAAAGTAAAAGTTCTTAGTGTTGCTTCTGTAATTTATTTTTTAATTTGTCAGAATAATGCATCTTAAAATTACAATTACAAGCAAAATATACATTTTATTTATTGGCAAAATATCAAATTATCTATTTTAATAACTTTTTGATCTTTATGCTCTATTTCGATGATAATCAGATTTTGACTGGGACAAACTATTCAATGTTTATAGTAGTGGAGTTCTGTTTATTGTGAATAATGCTGCATTATGGCATCTAATGTCAGCCCCACTCAGGCGAGACTATACAATTATGGAGGTTCTCTGTAAAGTGTCACTGCTGCTGTCTTTCAGCACTCTGGAGTTGAAATGGCACTGTGTGCAGTTCTGCAGACTGATTTTGGCCAGTGGACAAATAACAGCTTTATTTTTTCATACAAAAAGGGAAAATGGGAGACCAGATAGCTCAAAGTCTTTTCCTGCTTTTATTTTAATATAAATGGACAGATTTTGTTTTTTATGTCTGTGTTGATGTCCCATGTTCAAGTCATTCTTGAGAAATGCACATTTAGAGTACTATGACATTATGGCACTCAAGTCACGGCTTGCAGTTTATTCATCTGCATGACATGCCTGTAAGAAACTACAGGCATAAATGATTATGGCACAGTCGGTATAATTCAATGAAAGAGGTTAATGTGTGGGGGACAAATGTGGAAATGTTTGGAACTGTTCTTCATTACAGCCAGAAATAAATAAAAAAATTAAATTAAATACGGATGCTGAAGTAACATTGATCATTTAAACAGCTGTCACTTCTATTATTCAAAATCAGAATTTCTTGTCAATTGAAATACTATTAACCAAAAGAAGCTTCTCAGTTTTATGGTCAATATTGAAGGGTTTTGTTTGTATGTTTTTCCATGACACTAAAGCTAACCATGTGGATACTAAGTATAAAAATGTAGGAGGGATTGACTTTTTTCAGATTTATGGAATAAGCTATTTAAAAAAAAAACTTTTTTTTTTCCTTGGTATGGTCTTGGGAATAGAATCTGCTTTTAATTAAATGGATGCATTTTCTCTGGATGCAGTCATTTTACTTTTGGTAGAACTGTCAAACAAAGATTTGTGAAACTTGGTTGTTTTTTTTTCCCCCGATGCCTAAGCAAATATTTGTTTGGAATGACTGAGTTAATAATACCAATACACACACACACACTAAGACAAACTGGGTCGTGCACATTTGAACTGTGAAGACATTTTCTTGGTAAAATGGGAGCTGACCACGAAAGCTCTTTGGTGAGGAGCTGCCGATGTTGCATGCTGTTTCTGTGGCTCTGAGAACATCGGCGCAAGAACAAAGGAGTGACTGTGAAGTGTTGTTTCTTTGTGCTCCCCGCAGTGGATTCACTATTGAACTGGCTTCGGCGCTCACTGTAGTGTTCGCCTCCAATATTGGACTTCCTATCAGTACCACACACTGCAAGGTATGCCTGAGCCATGTGACAACAGTCTGGCCTCCTCCAGTCTGGGCTTCTCAGATCAGTCTGCTGTGGGGTGACAGTGTCTGGGGGCAGAGATTGCACCACTTTGAGAATACAGGGCCCTTTTTCATGCATTTGCACATGCTTAGGAACCAACTGTGAAGGAGCAAGACCAAATGATTAGCTTCTAAACATACAAACCTGTGTACATTTCAATATAATAACATTTTAAAGAGGACAATATCCGATGGCAGAGAAAGGTTTTTGACAACGATAAAAATGGAAGCTGCAAGTATCTTTTTGTGATTTTTTTTTTTTCCCACCAGTGGTTCTCGTAGTTGCTATGCATTTTGAATTAAATGTGATTGTAGCCTTTTGGCAAAGCTGTCAGTCTGAATCAATGTTTTAGTGTTCTGATGCTTCTGCACTGCAACAGGGTAGACTCTGGAGGTGACTTTAATTCATGGTTGTGCACATATTCGTGCACTGCAGATGTGCCAGGAAGCACGCAACAGTGGGTTAAATCTCTGGTGTCTACTGCACCAGAATGAAGCTGGATGAGAATTTGTAGAGCTGGCTTGTTCCTGGAAAGCAACATGAATTGGCTTATATACTTCACGCTTAACTATTTTTAGAAGTTTATAAAATCATTATGCATTATTCACTTGTAATTCATCTTGGCTTCCTGTCCAATATTTATGATTTGTATCTTAACCACCACTAGGAGCCTCGATAACAGTCACACATTTTGTGTATAATATGAACAGCATACATTTATGTGCTTAATAAAACAGGGCAAAGCAGATTTTAATTGTTTTTGATTTTATACAAAAGTTTTGTGAAACCAAAAACCTTTTCTAAGCAGTGTGGAAAACCAAATAGCCATTTGCCTATAGTAAATTATTTTATAAATACAAATGTATTGTAAAGCTACAGTAGTTTTGGACTTCAAATCCAAAATAAACATGTTGGGAGGTCAGCTGGCTCATCTTGTATCTTTTTAACTGTTTTTTGCTCTGCGCAGGAGAAGCTCCCTGCAGTGCTTCAAATATCTAAATATGATTATTCAGGAATCCCCCAGGCAGATGAGATGTGAAATATCAACCAGGTTACATGGTCAGGTGCTGTAGATCCTCAAATAAAATCCGTCTCTTGCCTGACGTGTCTGGATGTAGACTAATTGATATTCCTGAGACGAAAGCAGTGGCTTGCAATTTTCAGGCATGTAAAATTAAGTCCTTTTGAGTGAGGTTCAGCATTTTGATAGAGAATGTCAGTGTAATTCTGTATTAAACAAAGGTATAGATGCCCACTGTAGTTAATATACCAGAAGTGCTTGTATTTGTTTCCACAACACAAGCAAAGAATCAAAGAGTAACTGGTTATCTCACTCAATACAGTACATATCCAGTGTAGTTTATTTAAAAAGATTTCTATTCTCATGCTAGCCATGATTTTCATAGGGAGTAGGAGCTCAGACCAGGAGGTACATGTACCAGGAAGAGTGCTAAGCATATGGACCACATGTTTATGAGTCTTGAGACTCAGTTAGCTAGTAGCAAATGGATGAGAAACCGGACAAATGGCCACGTTTCACTCTGTTTTGATATTTTCTAATTGCTGAAAAATTCTGCTCACCAGTCATGCATTTCTTTTTTTTAACTTGCTGCTTCCACTGCCATTGGTTTTGTAGATTTGAGTGATTGTGTTGAAGAAAAAGGTGCATATCTTTGCCCCAGATGGACACTGTCTTAAGGGACTGAGCTGAGCAAGCCAAAAAGGAGCACTGAAACCTATCTTCATACACCTGTATTTCACCAGCCCCTCTCTCCTCTACTCATTGCATGTTGTGGTATATGGGAAACCTTTCCTCTGTCTTACTGTACTAGATTCTCACCATTGTTTTATTCTTTGTTCCATTTCTTCACAGTGGATTTTGCATTGAAGTAATGAGTGCGCTAACTGTACTTGTTGCCTCAAATGTGGGCATCCCAATAAGCTCCACTCACTGCAAGGTATTGGAGTGTGCAGTCATGATGACGATCGAGAGAAACTGTTCAAATACAATAATTTAGACAATTTTTAAAAATGAAAGCGCAATTATAGAAGTCTTGCCGACTCATGCATTTTTCCGTGTCATTTTGAAGCAGCTAAGCAGATCACCATTTTAAATGTATGTATAAACAGATAAGTGGAACAACTACTTCCAAAAGATATGGTCAGTATTAATCATGGTAAAAAAATACCATCTCTGTTCAGTCTTCTCCAGTACATCAAAATATGCTACAGAGAAGATTTACTAGTATATATTATTGATTATTGATATATATGCTGGTGCTTGTGAGGGATATGACTGTTTTTGAAAAAAAACAAAAAATATATTTTTGACTAAATTAACTGCTTTTCACCTGTATGCTCTTTCAAATATTTGAAGCAAAAATGAATTACCAAGATAGAAGATAGCTGTTAGATTTTTGTTTTTAATATTTTTACATGTGAACTGCTAAAATAGTCATTTAAAACAATTGCAGCACTTCTGTTTGACTGTTGCTCTGTTAAAACTAGTCATCTATTAGTCATCTGCAAAATGACTACTTTAAGAATGTATATAATATTCAATATCTGGGTTCCAGTTAGTCCTTAGATAACATTAAATGAGCATTTCACAATGTCTTGTCTAGATTCTTTTTTTGACTATACCCATCAGTTTTAAGCTTTTAAAGTGACTGATTCAGTGGAAATCTTGTTTTTATTTTGTGTGCTTACATAAAGTTACTGTACATCATTTTACCGTACTTATTTATACTGAAAACAGGAATGTGCCAAAGCAGAACTTACGAATGTCCTTTTCTATTGCACATTATTTCATGTTTTTTCCAGCACAGTAAAAATACTAGAAAGAATTTAGATCTGAGCTGCAATTCTAAGTATTTTTAAGGAAAAATGCATAAGTAGCAAACTTCTACCAAAACTACAAATCAAATTATAACAATGTTGACTTTCAATTGTCCGTCTGTCACCATTTGATGAATGGTGACATTTGATGAATGTCACCATTCATCAAAACTGTGTAATTTTAACATTCCTTGATTCTAATTTCTTTAACAAACCTCTAATTTTCCTATTTTTTGTGCATCATCTGTTTTTTATACTGACCCTATTAACATTTCATTTAACTTTGATAATTTTAGTGTGCTTTCTTGCCTTTATGTTTGTAGTCCAATTCCTTAAAAAGGACCTTCCCCTTGAACATTCAGAGGCTTAGACATCGCAAGCACAGTGAACAGTGCAGGGACAGAACAGCTCCTTATGTGCCCTCCAAATCTACAATTTTTAGTTTAGTACACAAATGCCATTCTTTGCAGTGTTACAATCTGTTATGTGATTCTCACTGAATGAGAACTAGAATTCAAACAGCTCAAGAGATTCTTTCAAAAACACCTGCTGATATGAATAATGTCTCTCTCTTGCACAAAAACTATTTTTTGGCCATGCTTTTATCTCACTGTTAAGTAACGGAAAAGGTGTTATGTACTTGTGCAATGATTTATTCAATGTTACAAAAAAACATTCATAAAATTATTTCCAATTTAATTATAATAGAATATCTGGGCTAGGTTTAGACCTGACAGGCTGATGCAGTCATTGAGTGTCTGGGCTTGCAGGTTTTAGAGACCTAATTAGGATCTGAAAAACACACTCGATGTGACTTATTTGCTTAATTTAACTAAGTCATAAAATTCTGTGATAGAATGAAAATCAGAAACAATTGCCGCACAAATAAACTTGGGGCATTTGTCAAGTGATTAGCCCTAAGACATTAGTATGCTATGTATTTTTGACATGATTGGCAAGTGGGCTGTTGTCGCAGTGATAAACTCGCTATCCCTCACCAATTCCACTTCAGATTACAGAACTTCTTAGATACTGTTTTTCATGGAATTGTCCAGTTGTACAGGAAACACCACAGTCAAAAAATTAAATAAGAGCCTGTAGATGTACAAAATAACAAATAACCATTGGCGTTTATGAGAATTTATCAAGCTTAACATAACCGAGGACTATGTTGCATCTATGGATGTTACAATGGGCACTTGTAGTAAACAAACAGTGTGACATTTTAAAGGCAGCTAATTAGCTGGTGTTGTATGACTCTGCACGCTGTCAGTTTTCCAAAATTAGCTCGCCTTTTTTTTACCACCCACTGTGCTTCAAGTTACAGTTCTCGTATAAGGAAAAGTCGTCACCAGCGAGGTTGAATTTCGGCAGGTTCCTGGGCATGCATGCTTGCCCATGTTTCTTGGAAAAGGGTATTACTGTAACACTAGGGAAAACAGCAGAGAACCACACCAGAGAAAGACTTGGGTAAATCATTGCACAAGAGGATCAGACTGTGCCAGGGTCTGTATAGATCAGTCCGCGTCTGGTTCACTTTCATTTTTCTTCATTTCCTTGAGCTGTTGAATAAATCTCTTAATAATAATGAATGTTATCAACATTCATTAGCATTATTTTTACTTGGACATTTCATTTCAGGTGCAATGAAAGTGACCTGTTAATGTTGTCATTTCAGCAAAAACGTTAGGTACTAAAAGCCTTTGAGCTCTGTTCTCTTTGAGAAGAGACAGGTTTCTGTTGTTTAAATACAGTACTGTTAATAGTATACATAAAACATTTTCTATTATAGCAGGAAGGTAGTACAAAATAAGCTTTAGCTTATGTGCTGCTTCTTTATGTTTAGCACTTGGTAGAGAGTTTGCTGTAAACTTAAATGAACTAACTAAGCTTAGAAAGAAAAATCAATCATTTCATCCTAGTAATTTGCAAAGAACCACCATTTTACTAACAATCTTAAGATGCGCTACAGATCTGCTTGCTAACGTTTTTTTGTTGTCTGTAAAATGATACTGATTTTGTCTCTTCCATTGTGTTGTTTTTTTTTGTTATTGTGCTAACCCTTCCAGGTGGGTTCAGTGGTGGCTGTGGGCTGGATCCGATCGAAGAAGGCAGTGGACTGGCGTTTATTCAGGAACATCTTCCTGGCATGGTTCGTGACGGTCCCTGTGGCAGGCCTGTTCAGCGCTGCTGTCATGGCTATTTTTGTGTATGGCATTCTGCCATACGTCTGAGCGAGCCCCCCGAAAAAAGAGGAGGCCTCGGAGAGCATCAAACAAGCCAGAGCTCATTCAGTTGGACTAGTAGAAACGGGCTGGGGATCAGAAGCTGTTGTGGAAATGTCCAGAATTCAGTTTTTTTTTAATTTATTCATTTATTTTTCTTCAAGGATATGCAACTAGATAAGAAAGAGGCCCCCCTTTTGTAATCTTCCAAATAGCATCTGCTGTACATAACACTGAGAGTGTACATTTTGTGACATGGTGATATGATGTGCATTTGAAAATGTAATAAAAACTACATTTATATGTATATATAAATATACATATATAGAAATATATCTATACTGACATATTAATGTTTAACACTACCTGAATCACAGTGAATATAAAGCAGATCTTTCCAATGGAATAATCTTGTAGATGGAAAATGTAAATAATGTATAATTGAGTGGCATTTTTGTACTAAGGTTTGCTTTAAGAAACTCAAGTGTAATTGAGCAAATGCCATGTCATTGTGGCATATTTATCAGCGAGGTACTGCTTTTTTTTGGGGGGGGGAGTTGTCAGTTTACTATAATATCATTTAATAATTTTCTCATAATTAGAGATAATTGGAAAAAACAAGTTTTTAAGAAAGCTTCCATTACCTTTCCAAATGGACTTCATATTTTTTTAAAAATGTAATATAATGTAATTTCTACTGTAAATACTTTCTTAGAGTAATTCAATTTTCAAAACTTGGGGCCATTAAGTAATGAATTAGCTGACAAATATCTGTGCCAGTTAGGATTTCACAAAAACCCGGTCCACAGGGAACTACTGAGCAAGCATCACATTGGGGGAAAAAGTCATTTTTTTAGAGACCAGAAAAAAGGTTTCCCACATGGAAACTTATTATACCATCAGTGGTGTTCAGTGGTGCAAAAAACCTCTCTCAGTGTGCCATATTGCATTATACACAGGGACTCTTTGTGCAGATTTGGATTTTAAAGTTTTAACAAAAGAAAAACTATTATAAAGTTTGAAATACGAGTTTTATCAAATTAAAATCTGTATTATTAAACATTTGTGTGCAAGAGAATAAATTTCACTTTTAAATTGTTTGACCCAAGAATGTAACTTAAAGCAGTGTGTGAAATTCAACTTGTACTCTTTGCTCGAGGTCACAAAACATTGAATGATAAATGATACATCAAAGCACAATATTCATAAAAAATATTTTGAAATATATGTCAATAGCACAGCAACCTGGACAAAACTGAACTACTCTAAAGAATATTTAATAAGTTGAATCTCTCATCACATGACCCATAATGTACTGTACTTCAGTGTTACAAGATTAAATTTCTTAATTAAAAATCTTACTTTTAAGTGTATTGTATACAATCCATCCAGTCATTATATTAATTTGGAATGCAATAGATATTTTTCCATCTGATTTTTTTTATATGATATAAACTTGATATGATATACTTCAATATTTTTTATATGGCATTTGACCTTGGAAACAAAACAAGATTTTAGATTTTAGAACAAGAGTTTGAGTATTAAATGGAGAAATATGGATAGCAAATTGTTTTAATGTACATTTCAAGTGGAGAGGTATAGTAATCATCAGTTGGCATAGATGATTTAAGTTTAAACTGATCTGACTTTGCTAAGCAAATTATACTAAAACTAATTAAGTCATTTTGGTCAGAACAACCCAGTGTCCCGAGTTTCCAGTATGCAACAGATGCACTTTGAAATGTGTTTTTTTTTTCTGCCGACTTGCCCTGAAATGGCCCTTAGCAAATTTCACATGGCACATCGTTTGAGAAAAATCCATTTTACCAAAGATTCAGAGGAATAGGAAGAAAATACTATTTTCAATGTAAAAAATGAAATCTGTTAAGAGTAGCTTGTCATTTTACTTTTTCTGGACACTGGACATTCCTCTGAGCTCCCACACGGAAATTACACTGTCTACACACCACTATCAGCCTTCATTCACAAAGAATATGGGATAGTTTTTTATTCCTGTCAAGGACTCCTCTCAAAGAATATTAAAAAATAGTTGTCATAATAATATTTATTAAGCGAACAGGGTTGATTTGGTAAAAGGTTATCTATTTTTCACTTGGTGCTAGATGTAATGTATTCATCCCTTGTAGATATTTCCCTGTGATGTTTCAACTTATCTGTGTTGTGTGTTTCTTCGTGTTGATATGTAACTATGCAGAAAACGTGATTTGCCACTCGTCTCTTGTACTAAATCAACGTAAGATTTTCTCACTGAAAAGTAAACACTACCTGCAGTAAAAGTGCACACTGGATTTATTTGTTCCACAAATCAAATACTGTACATGTATATCTCCTTACCTGCATCTAACTGCTTACGGGCTTGTATGTAGCTTTTGCGGCTATTCCTGTAGAGAAGTCATCCCAAAAACAAAGTACAAAATTTTAGTAGACGCACAACAGCATATATTTGAGTATTGAACCTTATGTGACAGTCAGCTGAGATTTACCTCATTTCCAGAAAGATATTCAATTTTTTCTTACCACATTCAGGAATTACATGTGTGCACACCAGTTTTCTGTAGGGATTTTTCCAAGTTTCTACTACACAGTTTGTCTCCTCAGTTTACATAGCATCAGTTTAAGTACTATTGCATCCAATGTCAGAACAAAAAGTGTTACAACGCTCCAAACTCAAATTCTCATTGAGTTCACAGAATTAGTATTGCAGTATAATGAATGTAAGTGAACCAATGATCTGAAAAGGGAGGTGAATGTTCAGTATGAAAAAAGTACATCTAGTGCGCAGACCTTAAGAAGTTACAGTAAATGTGTAGTGTCATAATTTTGGTATGTAAACACTACAATTAGATGTGAGGATTGAGTGATGTCAGTCAGGCATTAAAGGTTATATACTGTATGTACAGTATATACTTAAATTATTTCCCCTGATTGTTTTTTCTATTGCTGCAATATTGGTCTTTGCAGTTGGATGTACTAAAGTATGTATTTTCAATGTCTTTAATTTTCATGACTTCTCATTCAGAAAAGGACCCAGAAATAGGAAGGTGGCTGAGCTATACAACTACATTGAAAAGAGCAATTTAATATCTGCAAATCCTTATTCATAATCATAGCTTAAGACTTCAAATGTATGTAATGTGAAAATCTTAACATGATCAATTTATGTGCATTCGTGCACATTTACTTTTCCATTTTGTTTCATATTGCATAGATACAATAGTTTTGTACTTACTGTGTAATGGTGTAACACAACAGAACAACAGACTAATTAATCCAATGAAAGAAAATTTTGTGAACCTTGAAATATGATTAAATAACATGAAGTGTCTAGAAAGAGTAAAACTATTATTTTTTTTATTTGAATAGTGGTGTTTTTTTTCCCGATAAGACACCACTGCATAGTTTAGCACAAGGTTACGGATGTGATTTTAAATGAGTTCCATCTGACTATATTTTTATACCATATCTAAGTTAACCTTTTTTGTTGGATAAATTACCTCCAATGCTCTGTACAGAATAATGCTCGTAATAGTTAAGGAAGCTTTTCCTTAGATATAGTTTCATCAGATTTCAGGAAAGCTCCCTGAAACTTTTATAAAGAGCATGTTTTTTTCTGTCCTGGCTGTTGATGGTTGATGATAGGTTTGAGTTTTTTTTTTCATTTTTATTTTTTATTATATATAAAGTGCTTTGTAATTTTGTTTCCCACTCGCAGCAGTGAGAGCAAGCCTTTTATCACTTTCACATTAAGAGCTGTCCAGTTTGAAAATGCTTGAATCTAGTTACAGAAACATAGTGGTGCTAAAGGTCGCCACCTAGTGGATGGCACTATGGATTATTAGCAGTTGTATTGGTTATTCACAGGGTTTTCATTATTACCAGTACTGTTTCTTTGGCTATCCCTATCTAATTACTGTAAGGGATTAAGAAGAAAGAAAATGCAGAATCATTAAATATAATGCACAGTGTTCAAAAGAGGTGTGTGATTCATAACTCATCTGTAAAAATGATCAATGTCAATATACTACTTGAGTTATTGTAAATTGTCAGAATAATTCTTCTTTGCAGGTTGGCAAAGGAAGACAGCCAGTATTGTGCGTGCAACGCAAGTGGAAAAAGTACAGGAAAAACGCCTCTTGTAACACAAAGAGTTACAAAACTCTTTACAAAAGCAGGTGTCCAGAATTTTTTTTT